CAGTACCAACCATCTGAGAACGTTGATATGACTAACCTCCCAACTCCCCAGTCGTCCATCCGTCAGACGTCAGTCAGACCTTGAAGAAGGTAGGTATATATCTGCGTTTGTTACGTTGCGTGGGACGCGTGCATTGAAAATATTTATCTATCACTTCAAGTTTTAAACTTTAAAATTTGGGGTATACTCTGTGCTAGTCTCCAATTTTTAATCTCTGCAAATTTTTTATCTGAAAATGTTCAGGAGCCTCTGAAACGTCAAACACTGAAGTTTGACCGATATTTATATTTTTTTTTAGGATCCTTGACTGTAGCTCCGCCGCCATTAGATCAATTTTCAGAAACTAAAAGGCTTTTTCATCCTTGGCATAGTAGTCACCTTCTGTCAAAATTTTATCAAAACGCCAGCGACACCCTTCAAGTTATACAGTGGCCAAGGGTAAGCTGAGCGACGGATCGGCATGTGACATGCTCAGTATCTGAGCTTAGAATTTTTTTTAAAATTACAATACTTCTTCGTCAGTTAGTGTGAGAGGTAAATATATCAGGAGACTAACAGATTTCGAGCTGTGTCTCGTAACACATATCTTAATTCTTAAATTTCCTTAGAGATGGATAGGTGGAACATTTTTGGACGTATACAATTTCCAGGAAACGCTGTTTTCTTTTTCGTTTCACGGTGGTAAATTTTCTCAGGAAGAAGAAACGAGCATATCTTCAGAATCCTTAATATTGTACAGAAAAACGTACTTCAGGGGTCATCAGGATTTCCTAGTGTTCACGCTTATGTTTCGTGAACTATTTCATATTAGAAATCGGACTGAAAATGGAAATTGGCCAAGCCATTTAAAACTTAGAACTATTTTTTTAACACGCTTTTATTAGCTTTCTCTGTATGTATGTAACGCCAGGATTGATACATTATTTCATAGATTCTCTGAAGGGGAATAAGAGAGATAGAGCCAGCGCGCGATCTACGCGTGCGTGCAGTTTCGGACTTACTTTTTGTTGGTTTGGGCACTCGGCACAACACAACGAAGGCAGATACTTTTTCAAGGTTGGGCATTCTCACTTTGTTCATTTCTTATAAAGGCGTAGGTACTAATGAGTCTAATACACGCGAATTACTGTTTATAATATTCGTATTATATATTATATGATAACCTCAGTTGAGCTTCGACCGTCCACAATATCCAAGGTTGTACAGTCGATCATGCAGCCATTTGAAAAACCATAAAAATGATTAAAAACTTTGTCATAAATCAATATTTTTAAGGTTGTCAATATCTAAATTAAAGCTTTCCCCACAAGGCTCCAAAGTGTATTTCGAGATTAATTAATTTTCAAGTGACTTTCAAGCTAGTGTCTTTGGTCAAAATTGATTTTAATGTTATTATCCTCAGGGCTGATAATGATGTAAGATGATTTTAGAAAGCAACTAGTGAATATTGCTTGCAAAGGCACATGGGTTGATGGTTCCTATAAAAATAAACATGTACTGGGCTGCGATTCAGCTGCTAAATCTCTGGGTGAAGCAATATGCAATATTTTGCGAGCCAAGTTTGAAAGCAGCAACCGAGGAATTTGTGCATTAAGCTCTTGTATTTTTGAGAATTTTACATCTAAACAGTGAACTATTAGCTGAAGAGAAGAAAAAAATTATCTGCCTATATACTTCGATATAGCTAAATTCTCAATACGTTGGTATCGGGTTCATTTTAATGAAGGTGATATATAAATAAATAAAAACGCCATTATTTTAAACTCGGCGAAGGCCAGCTATGCTATTAACTTAACCGAGCATGTAAAAGTAACAACAAGCCAAAAAGAAAAGTAATATGACAAGAAAAAAGTTTTACATTACATTAATTTTAGAATATTACATAACAACAATGAACAATAATAAACTACAGATGTACTTATACAAAGAAAATAAGCAATAATAAACAACTTATACTTTACAGAAGCAGTTGTTTCAGTTTTCGTTTGAACATATTAGGAGACATGTCTTCAAATTGACCTATATTGTATTGGTTTAGAAGTTTGACTGATGTATAGGAAAATGAGCTTTCAGTCATGGTTTTAGTTATTTTAGGTATTTCATAAAGTACATTAAAGCGTGTTGCACGAGAGTGAATCAGATTTCTAAGAGTTAATTTTTCAATCAGATATGGAGGGCTTTTAGTTTTAATCAATTTATGACTTATGACATGACTTCGGAATCTAAGCTTGTTATCAAAGATAACGCCCAAATTTTTACGTCATACCTCAGCGTATCTATGATTGTTTATACAGGGTGCGCCAGAGAAACTTACTTATTTGAAAGGTCAATAAAAACAAAATTACTTCAATTATTGTTTTATTTTTTTTTTTATTCGAGAATACAATATCCCAATTTTTTTTTCATGTAGTCTTGAAAATGACATCGGATAAATGGCGACCTCCATTGCGCATACACTGATGAAGTCGATTTTTGAAATTCGTATCCACTCTTTGCAGCATATCAATCGGTATGTTGGCAATGGCGTCGCGAATGTTGTTCTTGAGGTGTGCTATGGTCCGTGGTCGATCGACATAAACCAGAGATTTCAAATAACCCCATAAAAAGAAATCGCAGGGAGTCAAATCTGGAAATCGTGCCGGCCATTGGAGATCGCCTCTGAGAGAGATGAGGCGGTCGGGGAAATGTCGCAACAAATTCATCGAGTCTCGTGCGGTGTGTGCTGTGGCTCCATCTTGCTGAAACCACACGTTCCTAACGTTCATTTCTTCGAGTCTCGGAAGAAAAAATTCCTCGATCATGTTCCTGTAACGAGCTCCATTCACGGTAACTGCGCGTCCGTTTTCTTCAAAAAAATAAGGACCAATTATTCCCATTACCGACATCGCACACCAGACTGTAACTCGCTCACAGTTAAGTGGCTTCTGGTGAAGCTCACGTGGATTCACACCAGACCAATAACGCATGTTTTGCTTGTTGACGCAGCCGGAAATGTGGAAGTGAGCCTCGTCACTGAAAAAAACGACCGCGTCTTCAGGCAGGTTGTCAACCAGCATTTCACATGCATTTTGACGGGCAACAAAATCGCTTTCAGTTAATTCTTGAACAACAGCCAATTTATAGGGATGAAAATGGAGGTCTTCATGGAGAATTCGTCGAACAGTAGTGTCAGAAATTCCCATAGCAGCTGCGTGTTTGCGAGCCGAACGCCGGGGAGAACGCACAACTGACTGCCTCACTCTTTCGACATTTTCCGGAGTTCTGATGGTCCGTTGAAGTCCATTTCTGGGTTTAGCGACACTTCCACACTCCCGAAATGAGTCAACCCACGACAGAATCGAATTACGGCCAGGAACGAGTCTGTGAGGAGGAATTTCAAAGCGAGCGCGGAAGGCACGTTGCGTAGCAACAACTGAGCGACCGTTAGAAAAGAAGCTCTCGACTGCGAAGGCCCGCTGTTCTCTAGACCAGAGCATGATGGCAACTGACTGGAGCGAGAAATAAACTTGGGAACTTCCCCCTCCAGATGCGCCGCCTCTCGCCCCTCTACCCGCCCAGCTCACCGCGCGGGAATTTTTTCAAATAAGTAAGTTTCTCTGGCGCACCCGGTATCACCAAAGCACTCCGACATATCAGCAGTAAAAATAATAAAAAATAAAGGACCCAAAAGTGATCCCTGAGGAACTCCTCTATCCACGTTCAAGGGTTTTGATTTAAGCCCATCAATTGAGACCGACTGCGATCTGTCATCCAAATAACTACGAATAAGTTGAATAGTCTTAAGTTTAAATCCATAGTAGAAAAGTTTTGCACACAGCAATGCATCGTTCAGGGTATCGAAGGCCTTGCTAAATTCCAACAACACCAATGCCGAAGTTTCACCCTTGTCCGCAGCCAAAAGAATGTCATCCAGAACCTTCAACAGTGCCGTGGTAGTACCAAACCCTTTACGGAATCCAGACTGCAACTTGGGTAATAAATTATTATCTGTGAAATAAGTAATGATTTGCCTATAAATAAGCTTTTCAAATACTTTAGACAGCACTGGTAGTATACTAATTGGTCGCAAATCAGAGAAATCCTTAGGGCTGCTAATTTTAGGCAGCGGCAAGACCACAGCCGTTCTCCATCGCGCAGGAAAAATGCCCTTTTGTATGCAGGAATTAAATAGGTTAACAAGCACGGGTAAGATCGTTGGACAACACAACCTCACCATGTCAAGGCTAATTCCGTCTGCACCAGAGGCGTTTGACCCAATCTCCGATATTGCTCAGAAAACGTCATCTTCACTAACGAGTTTCAATTCAAATTCTGCGGTTGTACATTTGGAATTAAGATATTTAGAAATAGTATTCGTATCGACAGTGCTAGGTATTTGTCGCACCGAGTCGATAAAATATTGATTAATTAAATTTGGGTTTTTAAGATGGTTAGGAATTTCTATATTTTTTTTAGATCTGTTATAGATATTAAGTTGGTCTAGGGTTTTCCACATGTCTTTGGATTTTTAGTACGACTGACAAAATCAATATAAGCTCTCTTTTCTTGTCGAACAGCTGACGTAAAAAAATTCCTCATTTCTTTGTAGGATGCCCAATCCCGTAAATTTTTAGTACGTTTGTATTTAGAGAAAAGATAGTTACGGTGATTGTTCATCGCACGCAACGCATCAGTAAACCACGGGGAAGGTTGCCTGGTAACTTTTTCTCACATATTGGCGCATGAGAATCAAAAAGAGTCAATATCATATCTGAGAGAATTGCAGTCTTCTGGTTAACATTATCACAGTCTACAACCTGCCGCCAAGGGAAGTTTATAAGACCTTGTTTGAAGCTATAAATGTCAAAGTGTTTAAAGTTGCGATATTTAATAATTCTAGGCCTAGCGGCAGAGATCTTAATATTTATTGAACAGTGTATGAGCTGATGATCGGAATGCTGATGCAAGTCCTGATGATGGACACTGCCACTTAAGAGATGATCGTCGGACAGGATGATGACATATATATATATATATATATAGGTTAGACACGTAACGTTTACATTTGTTAAGAGCCAATGTACAAACATTTATCTGGAAAAATGCTCATAGAGCGCATTTGGAAACAATACATTACTGTTCATTCGGATATTAAAAGCAAGTGGGTAACTTACTTCCTCAGCAAATGGCACATGCTTCTTCACAAGTCGTTGGTCCAACCCTGTAAATGTTAATTCAATTACAAAACAATGTCATGTAGTTGTAAGAAATCAGTTTGTATTTAAATAGTGCAAATGTGTAAATGTTTGTTAGAATAAAAAATAATAAATTTTGCAGTCCTTTCATCTCTTTAATTATAAAACATATATATTAAAATAACCAATTAAATCGCTCCACAGCATGTACTTCACATATTTCTTTTATATTTGTACTAGGGGGGGGGGAAGGGCTAACAGAAAATATACCAAAAAGTGGGCCATCCAGATCTAGATTATTTTTTCTTGACCTTTTCTCATTTGACATCTGTTGCACGCCTTTTTTTGGTTAATTAATAAATACTATCTAACGGGTGGTCCAAGCAAAACAGTTGTCTAGTGGTGAGCAAATTTAGGCCCTAGCTCAATAAAGCGGTGAGTAGGGGCGGAGGGGGCGGTTAAGAGCGCCAGTGACTTAGGACGGATTAATCCACAACTCCCCGAGATGTTAGTCGGAACTTGTTTTGCTTGACCACCACACAAAAGGAGAATCTAACAGAGATGATGAAATTTAAGTAACAGTACACACAGAGAGAGCTAAATAAACAAGATATTAAATGAATCACAATATATTGATCAATAAAAAAAAACGCACATGTACTCCACTACTGGAGTGCGAGTAATAAAAAAAAGAAAGGATGTTATAAATCTTAAATACGACCTGACAAAATTATTTTTCGAGATAACCCCGCGAAACGTCTACCATGGTATACGCCCGAAGTACTTACAGATATTTTGCGCCTAAATACTAAACTTATCTGTAGGTCTTCTTTGTCAGGCGCGGCCGAGATGTCCTCAACTCTGGTCAAAAAGTGGCCAGTAGTGGGCAGGGGCTGCTTGCCTCGTTGCCAAAATTATGGTAGTAACACAAAAAAAAACTACAGAGAGAAAGACTGTTTAAAAATCTACTCCACTCTCTGTCTGAGATAAAACTACTCATTGAAAACAGTCGCACTTGAACCAAAACCATGTAGATTTTTTTGTACAAGAAAAGTAAAGCCAAGTCAAAAGAAAATAAAAATGTACTAAACTAATATACCATTGTTCTAAAAAGTTATGGCAGCTCAAAAATCAAACTCATGTTCAATGTAATCGAACCCCCATATTTGAATACGTAGAATGTCCAATAAAATCAAGAAGTCTCTAAGAATTTCAATAAGCAATAATAAATGTATAAAGATCTATGAAATTGTTAATTAGAATGATATTTTACCTGTTCACATCAGGTTTTTTTCAACGGAATGGCTTCCAATTTGCAAAACTGCAACAAGATGCAACTAACTAGAGGAGAAAAGGATGATGATCCTCTTCTGTTTCTATTGACAAAAAGAAAACAGATATTGAACGAACGTCATCAGGACACGCATTAAGGCACGTGGTCCGAAGGTATATAAAGAAAGAACTTACCGCTGAGTGTCAAAATCCCATAAAAAATGGAAGACGTAGCACCCAAACCAAAATAACTAAACTTAAGTTACACAACAACAAAAAAAGGATGCTAGTCCATGAATTGGCGCTTGGGGCCTAATATCCCAGAGTCCGGAAAACTCTAAACGACCCCTGCACCACGACCTCAACGGAAACAGAAAAGCAAATCTCGCAAAACACGTAACGTTCTAGAAGAAGGAATCTTGATTGGCCATGAAGAAGATATGTTTTATGAGAAACCAACTGACGGAGAAAAACTACAGAGTTATTTGCTGATCGTCAACACCATACTGAATCGCTGAGAAAGAAGGATATAATATATACAAGTGAAATTATAAAATCAATAAACTATTAAATTTGCCAAAAGAAAATAATTGAAAAGGGCTTGGCCTAGGAATTTGCACTCTATTATCGATGAAGAGAAAAATTCAAATTACGGATAAGTGATAAATAGTAAAAAAAAGTTACGTGATTTTAGCATGTGACACTGTTAATAAAACTCGCTTTAAAATAACTTAAGCTTAAAATACTCTTCAGAGTCTTGTAGGGGTAGGTTTGCATCGAGCGCCTGAGATATGTCGCAAAAAATTATCAACACGAGATTCAGTCGAAGGTCGGGGTTTTTTAATTTGCTTAGCAAATAACTTGTTACACGCATTGTCCAGTCAAAATATAGATCCTGAAATTTTGTTACTTAAATTGTCTTATACCGTTTTACAGACGCTGCAGTCAGTGTGATGCGGTGTTATTTGTCAAATAGAAATCAAAAGGTAGTATCAGCTTCAAAAATATAGGAACCAAAGGCTATAAAGACCGGTGGTCATCAAGGTTCCATATTGGGCCCTTTACCTTTCTCTCTCAGATCTCCATCAGTGTGTCCATAATGGTACAATCCGTCACTATGCCGATGATATTCAAATTTATTTTAGTTTCCACATACAGACTTCAAAATGGCAGATGCATTAATCAACTAAAATTTAACAAGGCTAGTAGACATCGTGTAATCTAAAAATCAATCCATGGAAATTTTCAGTTATATTTTTCGGCTCAAAAAACAAAAGAACATCGATCGAAACGGATAATAACCTTAAAATCTACAACAATCCTGTAGTGAGTGAGTGTGAAAACTTGGAACTCCATTGACACAGAACTAAAATACACTAAGCATATGAATTCATTATGTAGTGCATCGTACTGCATTCTGAAGCAATTTTATGCAAATAATGTCTGCTTCACTAAAAATGAAACTGTGTGAAACATTAATTATATCAAAAACCAGTTATTGTGACACTACTCAGGGTACCGCTCTATCTTATAGTGAGGAAAACAAATTACAGCGAATTCCGAATTCTTGTGGAATATGAAAGTTTGATCATAATTGTCATAAATTCAGGGAGCTTGGTATTATGCAGATAAAACCCACTCGTATATAAGGTGTTAGCCACCAAATAAGCACGATGATGCATTCTAAAACTATCTACAAAACATCATTCAGTCACAACGCTATTAAATTATATACTGGTCTGCCTGTTATTTTCTTGAAAAGATACTTAAACTGAAAGTTCAAGCCACGATCTGATGAACGCAAAATGCTGGAAATATGTACTAGTCTTGTAATTGTTTATATTTGTTGTGTTATCAATTAATTCTTATTCTGGCATGGGGTCACTCTCCGCACATGTACAGAGTATTTGCCCTACAGAGTAGATGTATCCGATATATATCAAATCTAAAATATAGAGATCCTGTAGAGCTGAGTTTATCAAACTTAAGGAGCCGTATTTATGAAACAAAGGATATCCTTGTACTTGCAAATTTTGAAGGAAATCCTCCAGATGGTATTTATAATAATTTGAAGTAAGTACTTTTGCTTTTTGAGTATACCCATATCCCTCACAGCAGTGACATAAGTAAAAGAACATTCATAATCTTCACCTTACACTTGGCAGCAGACTAAAGTTCGTAACGAAAGGTGGTCAAACGATGATGGCGGAAATTGTGGATGTTAGCGATGTTAAAACATACAAACCTCGTTTACCTTCACTTTTTGGTGACTTCAAAGAATTATATCGGTTCGACGAAGCAAATGTACAATGGCTTGCGGACAGATTTTTAGTTGAGAAAGAGGAAACTCGATGAGGAGCACTTTCATGTATTCATAAAATAAAGATATGTCTACGCTATCTCGGTCAGGAACTTGGTGTTATTCAAGCAACTGTATCTCGGACTGTGGATAGAGTTGTGAACAGCGCAGTCGAACGAATGGATCAAGTTTCCAACTACCAACCATGAACTGATGGAGGCCAAGCAGATATGGTAAAGCATGTATAAATTTCCGACAGCAATTGGTGTAATTGATTGTACACATATAGGAATCCTGAAACCAAATCGCCATGGAGATGAGTCTATCAACCGAAAAGGGAAACCTACTTTAAATGTGCAAGCCACTTGTGATGCCAGAGAGATGTTCACAAGTGTTGATGTCAGTCAGTGGCGGCTCGTGCCAATTCCGTGAGGTAGTGCCAGAATGGAAGCCATAATTTTGAATCGATTCAAAATTGTAAAGAATAACTTATAACTTACCCCTGATAGTTAGTGGTCAAAGTTCTTGAGGTTCAATAAATCTATATGTCCAAAAAAAAATCAAAAATAAAACTATTTACACACGCGCACCAAATTATAAAACAAGTGTGGAGAAGTACCTATAACTATAGTTTTCTATATATGAGGTCCATTCTTCTTTCTTTTTTGGTAGCAAAGTTTTCGATTACCTTATTATTAAAATATTCAATGCCACTAACAAAATGTTTTTCTGCAGACAGCATTCCTAAAGCACTAAGCCTTTCTTCCTTCATTGTGTTTCTGAGGAAAGTTTTAATCCGTTTCAGCATTGAAAAAGAGCGTTCTGCTTCAGATGTTGACATCGGTATAGTGATTAAAATACTTAAGAGCTTAAGAGTTTCTTGAAACGTACAATTTAATCCTTCCTCGTTCAATAAAATGGATAGTGGAACAGCTCCAGAAGTAGTACTCAATTCTTCTCTCTGATATAATACTTGTAACTCAGTTTTAAGCCTGTTTTTGTCTAAAAATGAAAATTGTGTGCATGTGTCATTTAAATGTGCTTCAGGAAACTGATGTTTATAAACAGAAAACTTTTCAGACACAAATAAATTAGAAGCAACTAAATGTCCAGAAAAGTTAAATCTTGTTCTTATTTGCGATAATACTGCATCGCATATTTCTAACGCTTCCCGTTTTTTGCTGCCTTCTTCAACTTGCCTTTTTTTTCTTGCCGGTTCATCAGTTTCTCTCTGCACTCGTTCAATCTCGTCAATAATGCTATCCATTTGTTCTCGTATAGTTTGAATTGCTGCTTCAAAATTCTCTAAATCATTTTTGACCTTAACAGAATCGGTGCGTACTTTTTGTAATTGGTTAAAGACAATTTCAACATGTGGCATTATTTTATGGAAAATACTTAGCCAAAATACAAAATTTGTATCTTGCAGCTTTAATTTGTACCCACTGGCTTGATTAATCGACGAAGAATCGCGTGAAGTACTTTCTATATTGTCCATAACTTTAATCAGGTCTTTCCTATTTTCATAAACTGTATGAACACCTCGTGACTGAAAATTCCAACGTGTTTGGGAAGATCTTGGCAATCTGCGATTAACTATTTCATCCAAAATTTTTGTTCTTTGAGGAGACGTCGAAAAAAAAGAGCACAATCCAGATAAATTATGGAAAAATATTCTAGCCTGCTTATTGACAGAGCATGCGGTTGTCATAATTAGATTTAACTGGTGTGCATAGCAATGAACATAATTTGCAAGTGGATAAGTTTCCTTAATAATTTTTTGAACGCCATTCAATTCACCACTCATAACAGACGCACCATCATGGCTTTGAGCTATTAATTTGTTTGGATTTTGATCTAGTAATGGATTTGCAACATTTAAAACGCATGCAGCGATTGATTTGGCATCGTGTCCGTCGGGGACGTAAAATCTCCAAAATCTCTCAACTGGTTGTCCATTACACAAATATCTGAAAATAATAACTAACTGAAATTCACAGGCTACGTCCGTCGTTTCATCGGCAATTACTGCAACAAAAGGAGAATTTGCAATCTCCTTCTTAACTTCTTCATGATAAACATCTAGCATGCACTCAAGAAGCTCGTTTTGAGTTGTTTTTGAGCTACCCTCAAAAAGTTTGGCACTTTGAATATGGACTTTCAATACGTTGTCTAATTCGGCGCTAAAATTCACCAGCTCCTTAAATATGCCTCTGTTTTCCGAATTTTCCTTTTCATCATGACCCCTTAAGGCTAACTCAAATGCTCCACAAAACCTTATACAATTAATAATTTTATTCAATACATATCGATTCTTATCCACTTGATTATTATATTTAATTAGATCATTGCGATAAGCCGAATTGAGTTGAGTCCTTATATTTAATTTACCAAGAATAGAAAAGCTAAAAACATTATTCATATGGACTTTAGATTTTTCGTGGGTCTTCATTTTATCCCATATATGTATAAGATCGTCTGTACCTTTTTTTGACCAAGTCTCGTCACCTCCAAATAGAACACATACAAAACAAAATAGTTTATTCGTTTCTTCACAACCCCATATACAGCTGTTTTTATCATACACATTTTTATTAAATTTGCGACAGCGCGATTTTTGTCCGCTACCACTTTGTTTCTCAATTTTTAAATCGGGTATTGGCCGTCCTAATTCTTTAATTTGCAGTTTTTGATCCAGCGAAAAACCACCAAGTGAGTTTTTTAATATCCCGATTTTATTCATTTTCACTAGTTTTAATAAAACAGTAAAAAATATGATCACAAAACAGAGCAGTTCATTAACACTAGACGTACAAAAACAAAAACGTTATTTCTCACTTTTCAGGTAAAAAAAGACCGAAATCAGCACTAGACGTAATCATAACCAAACGACCGACCGAACAAAAACACCGCCGATATCATTTGATAACGAATTACGACTGATGATGTGCCTGGCACAAATTATACTTGTCTTTCGCTATTCACCTCATATAAACATGTCATGCGTAGCGCTATCTCTGTCGCTCGTATGCGATGCTGGTAAAATTTCTCTCTTTTTATTTGGACCGGCCCTAAATTGGCACAAGTTGATGACGTCAAGGTCAAGGCATGCTCGTCTCGTCGCGTCGGTCGGGTGCTTGCGGTGTTGTCACGTTGTCAGTGTTGTCACTTCATATAATTTATACCAAAAAAAATGAAAAAGCAGAAAATAAAGTAAAACATTGAAGATTGAAAAAAATATTCTTTTTGAAGAAGACAAGGTAGTGCCATGGCACCGTGGCACTACCTCACGAGCCGCCACTGATGTCAGTTGGCCAGGATCAGTGCATGATTCCAGAATATGGAGAAATTCGCAGACTAGATCACAACTAATAAATAAAGCAAATGTACTACTTGGCGATGACCTTATGGTATTGAGCCATGCCTTATGACTCTCTTCAGAAATCCTACTCCAGGTGCAGAAATAAATTATAAAAAGCTTTTAAAACAACAAAGAGTTATAATTGAACGCTGTTTCGGCCAACTGAAACGCCGGTTTCCTATCCTACAGTATGTTTGCCGCGTAAAGTTGGAAAATGTGCCAAAAATAATTATTGCTTTTATTGTACTCCATAATGTTGCGAAGAGCTTGGGCGACCCTGACTTTGAGTTAGTTGAACAAGACCCAGATGATGATGAAGGAAATCATGAGAATGACGAACTTACTCTCCGCCGACTAGGTCAACAAATAAGAAGAAACTTGAGTATTATAATACATAGTTTTACAGAATAAAGTGTATTTGTAAGTTAAAAAAATTTATTTTCGTGAACATCATAAGTTACAGGCGGCTTCTGACGCTGCATCATTTCTAATTTCAGTGTCGTATTTCTCTGTTGCTAATTTTCTTTTTGGTGGCTATGTCTTCTGAATTGCTGGGGCGTAATACTAACTGCGCTCGGTATTTAGTTCACTTGCTTCTTCTTGAACACTACCAACCTGAATGGCACCTCTAATTTTCCCAATTGTAGGATTACAGTCACCTTCCATAGCTTTCAGCAACTTTCTTTCCCAATCTAACAATTTAATTGCTTTATTACCAGATTTTTTTTAGATCTGTTTTTTTCTTCAATCTTAATTTCATGTTGTTGATAAGCCTTTAGTATCTAATGGTTTACAGAATGCTGATTCGTATTTTTTCAAGGCATCGTCCTTTCTCATTTTTATTTTTGGAACTTGTGACTTTTGCAAGATAATGGGAGCAATGGCAATTTCTTCTGCGATGAACTGCAGGTCGTTGCCATTATTTTCTATAGTTTCCTCATCACTTGAGTATGACATGCTCATTAATTTGATAAAAAACTGTATCCAGTAAAAATACGGAACGGTCTGTGTAAGCTCTGGAGTACAACTGTCAGGGATGCTGAGTGAACGAACTCTCACGTCAACTACAAGCTGGAACAAGTCAGGACATGTTGCTCAAGATACAACTACCTGTCAACCTTTTACTTCTTCTTGGAGGATATCCTCGCGAGTCTTATGAATATGAAAACAAGGATATGCTTATACTTCTACCTTTTTCTCCGAAGCAAGACCTTATACTTTTACCTTACGCTTCCGAGCATATGCTTTCCTCTTTTATGAATACGGCTCAAGATCATGACAGTACCTGGTGCATATATACTTAGCTGCCTCTTATATTTTAAGACAAATCCCGACTTTTTTACCACCCACCAAGAAACTGATTCATATAACACCTGACACAGAGATAACTTGTACCCAAAGCAATACAGACTTGGTGAAACAAGAAAGGGAGTTACCATGGCATACAATTTTTCTATATATTACCTAAGAAACTAAGATTTCTAGCATACAATGAATTAATTTAGTAAGGCTGTGGAAAATTTGCTATTGTCGACAGATTTTTTCACCACTGACGATTTCCTCAACCACAACTTCCTCCAATGATATTTCGTTCCATACTTTTTTTTATTCGAATGATTTATATTATTTATTATAGTCTTATCTCTTATGCCATTAATTTATTGATTGGACGTAGTTTTTTATCTCTTGTACTTTTTATTGTTACCCTTTTAACCATATATGTATATGTATGATCTGCAGTGTTTGTTTTTATATGTATTATTTGTAATTTTTTTGTTCTTGCTACTAAGCCTCAACTATATTATTGACTTGTGTAAGCGTGTTTTATGTACTAACACCAATAAGCTATTATTATTATTATTGATTAGTTATTATTGAGTAACTTGCAAACATTTCTATTAGTTCAGTATTATATTATCTCATCTTTTATGTACTTTTGTACGAAATAAAGCCCATTTATCATTATTATTATTACTATAAATGAATTACGGTAACCATCGGCCTATCACCAAATGTACCTATGTAAAACGGGCAAAAAGTGCTGCAGGTGTGCGAAAATCGTTAGATTATCAGAAAGGGGGTAGGGTTGTTCATATGGATAATATCAGCGTTGACTCAAATGATAAAGTTAAATATTC